ATAATTAATATGCGGTTATTACTATAATTTTAATGTGGAGGGATTCATTAATTATTTAATTACTTGGTTGACTTATGTGTGTGTTTATCGTAAGGTACTTACAGACATAATTCCTGTATATAGCTCAAAGAGTTAAGACTACTGACTGCAGTTTTATGATACATGGATGTGCTGGTTACCAGCTTGTAAGGGAACTTTTACTAGCTGAAACTTGTATCTTTTTTACTGGCCAGTGTATTTAAGTGCCTAATTTTTAGCTTTAAAAGTTGTGTTACGTGTTGCCCATCATGTAATTAACACTGGGTTTCAATGACCCTTGTGATTTATAACACTCTTGCATAAATGCATGGCCAAGGGTGAATTCCTAGTACTTAACTTTGAAGAAAATGATATGGATTGTGCAATCCACTGATATTTGACTGAGAGCCGAATCAATTACAAGCAAGTTAATCAAATTATAACATAACGAGTATAACACTCAGCACATGGCTCCGTACTTGGTGTCGCAACGGATTTTACCAATAAAAGTTACACCATTAATTTATTGCATTGAGTTTACTCTTATTGACTTATTAAAATGCGATTGCAGTATTGTTTCCTCAATAAATGTCAAAATGCTTACAACGGCATTGCACGTACATTTAAATAACAGAAGTAGGCACTGCTGTGAAACCACGATGCATAATGTAGGGTGTTAACATTTGACACATTTCTTTCCTGAAAGTACGTGTTATGTTCGCGACTGCATGAAAATGCTATTGAAAATGTGTATCTGTTATGGTAGTCCACTATATCATCCAACTGCTCTGTTTCGAGGGACAGAGCAGTGGTTTTCAGTTTCAGTTTATTTATTTTGGTATAGCCCTGTGAGCCATTCGGCTCTTGAATCAGGTGCAACCACAACAAACAAAAAATTAAAACACGAACAAGAAAAACATCTTAAAGTGACTATGTGACTGTGCAAACAGAAAATCCATGAAAAAAACAGCAACATATTTCTGAAAAAAGCACCGAACACCAACGCTGTGTGCAAAAAATCCCCAGTGGGATGCAAGTCAAACAACAACAACAACCACAAGAAAACTTAGATTAAGGCCATCAGTCTAACTCCGGTGCATCAGGTCGTGCGATGGGCTATGAACCCGGATACTTGAGTTCACTTCCCTGCCGAAGCTAACCCATCGGTTAACCATGGCTAACATTGTCAGTTTGCAATAGCTCTGTATCTCTGCCCCTCTTCACCCACCAACCTGTACCCAAACAGCATGAGGTGGCCCTTAACCAGCAGTGGAGTATAGGAACAGCAGTGGAGTGTTACAGTGGCTCTCCGTGCAGCCTGTTGTCGCCAATTAGGTCTTCTGCTTACTGTCTGCAGAAGACAAGCACAAGACAAGGATTGTTAAAGGATCTCTCTGAAAGGTGGAAGGAAGGGCAAGATGACAAATTGTTTTGATCGCTTCCAATCGAACACGGGTCATAATGAAAACAGAGGAAAACAACATTAATTCCCTCGGCAAGGCCTGCTAAGTCAGGCTGAGGGGTCAATGTAGTGCATGGAAAAGGTTTTTTTAATCACTGCTGTCCTACCGCTCCTACTTTTACATGGAGAGAAGTTTGTGTATTCACCCCTTGGACATCTAATCCATTTCCATTAAAAACTAAATTTAAATAATATAATTTAACTAAAAAAACACATCTCTTGCCACTGATATTTTGACAGCTTACACAATTTTGATTAATGTTTTTAAACAGCACTCTTTTCAATGATAGTCCATTGAATGCAAAGTAGGTATGTGTTTATTTGCTGTATTGTTTTATAATGTTTCAACAATTGTACAGCCAGATGATGCAGCACCGATTTTATTTGAAATGACTCAAGGGTGAATTTGTAATATACATTGAAATCAAATATTTTTTGCGGGGAAATTGATATTTGTGTACACTGTATTTTGAAACAGTTTTATGCTCTAATCAAGAACGTATAACCAATAAACATGTGTGTTTACATTATGCCTAACTAAACACGGATGGCCAAGATGAATTACAAGGGACAAAACACTTCCTGACATAATATCCACGGAGAAGATACAGCAAAGGATTCAGGTAATGTGCAGGAACTGGATGGATTATTATTTCGCAGAATCATGAGAGATGGCGGTGGATTGGGGAGCCTTCATCCAGCAGTAGATTGACCATGGCTCACGTTGATGATGATGATGAAGGAGGACGAAACAAAACGAAACTGAAGCCTGAATAAACACAAGTGCCCTTTGGTATGCCTTAAGCATACACGCTTAGCCATTTGAGTCCAGCACTGGAAATTGTCTGAACCCTTCATTGCTTAAACTCTTGGGAAATGTATTATTGCAGCGCCTATTTGTCAGCACACATAAACATTGACCTCACCTGAATGACCTCAGGAAGAACCTGTAATAATAAAGCCTGCAATTATGGCCTAAAGTCATTTGCACTCGGAGACTATATGAAATAGTATAATGCATATAGAGTATATTACTTTCAGTAAATACTGCAAGTTTTACAAGGTACTTTTAATTTGAAAAAAAAAATGTTCTTTTCACCTGCAAATACCACGGTGTCACTGAGCACTCTGAAGGTGGAATATCACGTGCGCTTAATTTTCTGAAAAAGGATTAAGTGTAATAAGTGTACAGTGTACTTCATCATCATCCATGATTGAGTCACTGCTGGATGAAGACCTCCGCACAATGCAGTCATCCCTCATGAAACTGCGATGCCAGAATGCATCTCACTCCTGTTTATCTGTGCAGTAGTTATCCTTTCTGGCATTTGGATGCCATTCGTATGTGCATTGGCCATCATTCTTATCAAGTCAATATGATGTCTCCAATTTGCATTTGTTTTCATCCTTGAGTTACTCTTCCTGTCTCCTTGAGTATCTATTCCTGTAGCTTTTGTTCCATTTTCGTTTTTAATGCCCAATCCTATACCATCGCATGTAACATGCTACTTATTGAAAAGTTTCCTCTTTAGGGCAGAGCTTTTGTATATTCGTTAATTTAAATTACAAATATGATGAAATACATGTTCGTATAATTTACATACCGAGCACAATTACACGTATGTAATTATAAAAACATTTAATGTTGTTGCAAAAGGAAGTGCTCATCCTGACTCGCATTTACACTGTGCGGTGTTAGAAACAAACAAGCTTTAAAATCCAACAACAAAGTCATAATTTTGTCACAATTGGTCCCTCATTGAGACTGCAAGAAACATTACCCGTCATGAATAAATATCTAATAAAATCTGACTCATACTGGGTGAGAACTCACGACTACGTTTAAAGACATGTTCATGGTTATGTTTTATATTTTAAAATTTTTAACCATCCCTAAGAGCTCAAACTCAAGAACTCAAGACTAAAGGCTTGAATTATGCACAGAAGCAAATTGCTTTCCTGTCCTTTGCATAAGTTTAAGAAAATGGGCAGAATTTTGTTTATAAACGTGGCTACTTTTCCACTGAATATGAACAGAAACTACCTTTTCAATAACCAACTAGTTAACCCCTTTAACGTAAGGTACTATACCAAATGATGACATAAGAGCAGGTCGATGGCACTTATGCCCCACATTTAAGGCCAAGGACACGTTAATAAAAGCTACACATTGCACATAATGTCCCCATAATTTTCAAATTTTACTTAAATGGATAAAACACAGTGGAGCTAAACGCAACTGTGAGTGCGTGTGTGGGTTTCTTAAGAGAGGGAGGACAAATTCCCCATTGTGCCTCACTGCTGCTATACATCTTAATTGGTTGTGCGTAGTGCTGTCGTGGATAATTACATTGCCAGACAAGCTTAAAAAGTTACACAAGCGAACCACATACGGTCATAATTGTTTAAAAATGTGTGCAGTATATTTATTTAGACAATGTAAATGTGTAGATGCATTGTGACATTGTTGCATTAAAACAAGTCTGTGGATTCTTTAGACCGGATGGTGGAGGTGAATGCCTCTCGTATGAACAAAAAAACAAATCTACCATGTTGCATAGTTTAGTAGTCATTATTTTAATTGTTATAAATTGTCTGGAAGGTGGAAAGCAACTGGCAACCTCTATTTCTTTTTTCCACAGTTTGGACTCCGAAGTGAATCCTGACTTTACTGTTGCTTCAAACACTTGTTTTTTTTATCAAATCATGAGAAAATAACCGAGAGTATACTATCCTGCTGAGAGCAGAAATTGTAAAAGTGATAAAATGTGGCTCTCATCTGAAGTGAGGCCTTCCGAATACGGGATGCAGTTAAAACTGTCAACATTAGTAGCAGCCGCCATTACATATCTACTGCTGGATTAAGGCTTCCAACAAGCGATTTTTGAAAGTCGACTGAGAATAATGCTATAAAATGAAATAAAAAGACATGGATAACAGCAGGTTGCAGTGCTTTTGAAAAACAAAAGTTAAAGCTTAAGACATATTGCCACTTATTTTGCAGCCTTGTGACCTGGACACTAAATAGTATATGCGTGTGTGTGGTGGGGGGGGTATATAAATAAAATACTCATAACTGTCATCATTAACACTGCATTACCACAATACAAAAATAAATTAAATGTACGAGTATATCTCTCAGAAGTACAGTAGCTATTTTAAACATGGCACCCGCAATTTCACGGAAGACTTGGCTCTACTTACATACCAAACAGCTGCGTGTATCTTTATTTGGAGTAATGAGCTGCATGAACTTGTGCTACTCTCGATGAGAGAAGATCTGGACAGGTTCGCCAAACCAAGTAAATATCACTGTTGCATTATCCATAAACATTTAAGTAATACTCATCACATATTTACTAATGGCAATATTATTTTTTAGACTTCTAGGAAACATAATAAATGTTACATGCATGATGATAATAAGTATCCATTGTATTCTTGGTTCTTTCGGTAAAGCCACGTAGAAGGGAAACAATAAAATAAAATAAAAATATAAAACAATAAAATTCTCACGACGTTTCGACTGCAACACAAGCAATCATCATCAAGTGTGAAACCATTGCTTGCCTTTTTAAGTGTTAATCAATTGAAATTATATGAAAATATTTACCTGCTATGATATTCCCCCTTACCTCCCATACGAAACTTGAGATGTCCTTAAAGTTACGTGAAAATTAAGAACAGTGCCGGGAAAAGTTTCCAAAGGGACAATAAGGCAATCGTGAGAATAATTACAACCGATCTCACAAATTAAATTCCCGGGTGCCTCGTAATTCATGTGGCCAGATCTGGTTACAATGGTGTGGGATTTACAATGTTCTCTCAAGTTTACGTGCAACACATTCCAATTAACAAGTTCCATTCTTGCTTTTTGGTACGTCAGCACTTGTGACATTGGCACTGTGTCGATTGAAAGTGCGTACACCCAGCGAACATTTCTCTCTGCTTTTTCACATATTGAATACTGGCAGGCACCATGTACTATGCATCGCTTTTTCTTTACAATAGTATGATATTTTTTTTTAAATAGTCATTGTTTACTGCCCTGAATACACAAAGCATTGTGAGATGGGGTGGAAAATAGAGAAAACTAAAAGAGTAGCACTCAATAAATCTATGGCAATGTTGGGTGGTAGTGGTTCCAATTTGGGAAATAAAACGCAAGGCTGAAAGAGTAATCGCATTGAGGAATGTGTGCCCCAATTCCCTTTCCAAAAATATGGTATCGCAATTGGATTTCACCTTATTCTAAATAAAGGAACTTATTGATTTTAGCGAATCCCCATACAATGAATTAGGCTTCAATGCTCAATCCATTCCGATCTCTTAGAATTTCGTGAAAATGGAATAAACATTATGATGACCAAACAAAATGCTAAATTCATTATTTCAGCTAACACTGAACTATTTTTATCCAGTGGTTGTAAAAGCAAGTTTTGAATTTCATTACATATATTTTTTGTAAGTAATTTTAAAGCAGGTTGTAGCTTCGCCATGATGCATGAAAACTATTACAGCACAGAAAATACAAGAGAAACAGCGACAACATAAAATTCCTCCCAGCGCATTTTCCTCATTTTATTTCCCTACGACACGTAATTTATTTACGTAATTATTTTATATTGAGCTACTTGTTAGCCTAATAGGAACATAACTGACCCGCCATCCCACCCGTGCAATTTTATGAACTCCCACGATATATAGTCATGGTTTCATTTAAATACCTTATTGATTAGCTCTCCGATGTGTTTTCTGATTGTGTTGTTCGGCGCGATGTCCGATGTTTCACTCCCAGCACTTAATTCAGTTGCTGAAGGAAATAGCACAAAGTCAAATGAAATGCCAGGCATCATGCCAAACAGCACACGGCACAGCTAGAAAACACAGCAGCACAGCCACAAAAGCTATGTCGTAGTATTTATTGATTTATTTTCGTCAATTTATATACAATTTTATCTATAGTGTCTGTCTTAGCGGTTCTGTTTTGTGTGTCTCCTGTGCTATCCGTATCGTTTTCTCATCTGATCTTTCTTGTCTGGACTCCTAGTCTGATTTGTACCGGTCCTATTTGTACTATCCATCTGTTTTGTACAGTCACAATTGTTATATCTTATTCATTCAGCTCATTAGCCGAAAGGGAACACTTGCACGAAATTTGCACGAAACAAATATAACAGATTAAAACACATGTATATTCTTGGTTCTTTCGGTAAAGTCACGTAGAAGGGAAACAATAAAACAATAAAACGTGACTTTACCGAAAGAACCAAGAATATGAATCCCTGTAAGTCACGAAAGCTTTAAATCAAAATGTAAAACACATGTGTTTAGGTGTACGTATCCAGCTCCATAGCGTGACCTTGTTTGAAGAGGGGCATACAAAAATCCCAGGGGATGGGCACAACAGCGTCAATGTTAAACAAACATATGTATATTCTTAGCTCTTTCGGTAAAGTCACGTTGAAGGGAAACAATAAAATATATATAAAACAATAAAAATTCTCACGACGTTTTCACATCTGATGATGACCGTTTGTGTTATGGTCGAAACGTCGTGAGAATTTTTATTGTTTTATATATATTTTATTATTTTATTGTTTCCCTTCAACGTGACATTACCGAAAGAGCTAAGAATATGAATTACTGCAGTCACGAAAGCTTTAAATCAAAACATATATGTGATTTAAATTATAAGGTCTGCTTTTGTCTACCGTGAATTCTGCTCTAGCTCTCACCAGCTATATATATGGGGAAAGTCTGTGAGACAAATTGCTTAATTGTACTCATATTTGTATTCTCCAGCCCCTTCTAACTATTACAGACAGTCTATTAATAAATTGAAGCTTTAAAATGTAAGGAATGTGGCTGAGCCGTCAGCAGTGAGGGTGTAAGAATTGACTAATAAAAGAGATTTGCTTTATCTTTAACCACTTTTATGAGTGTCATCCCACCCTATGTGCCGATTAAAGTTGTTTACATGGATATCCTTCATATCCAGTATTAGAATGATCTATGATTAGTCCCATAGACTGTTAGGGAAAGTGCTATCACAGGGCACATCTATTTGATTTACCGTGGCACACCTCCGCAGGGATGCCGTAACGTCAAACCAACTGGGAAAAATCCGAGGAAGTGTACATCTACCGTTAAACCAAGACCTGCTCAACCCTCCACGAACCTGTTTGAGATCCCAGAAACCAATCTGGGAACACACGAGACAATTGGATGAAGCGGGGTCAACTAAAGACCGCTGGCGAACACTGTGGAGTTTTATAATATAGTTTTTTCTTTGGTTAGATCACGTAGATAAAAAACAGTGAATGTTGTGGATTTTCTCTCCAACATCACCGCTGTGCTCTACTAGTAACGAATTGGCAAGTTCTGTTTACGTGACAAACCTTACTAGTTGGCTGTCGGGTGGTGGCGGGTTTAACGACACATTTATATATTTACGCGCTCTAACCCAAAACAATTATATTATGGATGATATTGGTCGCGAAAGCCTGCGTGTTAAACTAACTCATCGACGATCCCACCATTTCTCCGCATGGCTTTGATCCATCAACCGCTTCAGAATAACAACTGGTCACTGGTCACTGCACACACCTCTTCCACAAGTGGAGACTTAAAGACAACGCACAGTGTGACTGCGGCCACCTGAACCAGACAATTGACCATATCACGAACAACTGCATCCTACACCTGCTCTCCGGCGGGCTGAGCAGTATTAGTCGCACTACTCCCGAAGCTATCGCATGGCTCACAGACTTAAACTTGGACGTGTGATTTTTCACATACTTTCCATACGCTAGAAGTTGAAGAAGACTGTGCCACATGACGGAGATGGAGGAGCCACGATTTGTCCTGAAAGGATACTATTTTCTAATTTCCAGATTAAATGATCAGGAGGCAGCCAGGCCAGGTTCACATACTTACTGCCACTTGTGATGTTGTATGGCCACAAATTTAACCTGGTTCAGTGGGACAGACAACTTATGCTACCATATGGCACGCACGCACACACGTGGGCACACAAGGTCAGTTAACCATTTACAACCGTATGATGTATAATAGCAGACTTCACTAAGCGTAGTTTATATTTATAGACAATTTTATCACAGCTTATCCTTTGATCCCTGTGTTTTCCTTTTCCAAATGCACCATTCATATTTTTTTTGCAGAATAGATAAATGCATCTCTACTAAAAAGTGAAAGTAATTACAAGTGTCTATTGTGCATAGTTTGATTTTTTTGAAGTGTGTTTAATTTTCGGGAAACACAGCATTCTCCACAATGAAAACTAAAATCAAATCATTGGAGTTGTATTTTATATCAGTGAGAACCACAGCAACAGATATTTAGTCCGTTCATTTGGTTAATGAGTGAAAAAGCAATTCAGCTACACAATCATATCAGCCAACAGCTTTGAGAAGAGTCCTCTGTGGTATAACCACTGTCCCCTATGATCTGTGCACCAACACAGCACATTATAAATGTTGATTTAAAGCTTTTGTGACTGCAGGGATTCATATTCTTGGTTCTTTTGGTAAAGTCACGTAGAAAGGAAACAATAAAATAATAAAAATATAAAACAATAAAATGCTCACGACGTTTCGACTGCAACACAAGCAATCATCATCAGGTGTGAAAACCACAACAAGAAAATTTGAAAAAAGTGGCGGTTATTTTTAACGTTAGCACCACGGAGAGAGCTTTGAAAGTTTGTTCAGATGGACGAGTCCATCTATGTTCGGAAAAGAGGAGGGGGGAGACGAGAAATAATGCATGCGGTCTGAAAGCCACCTTAAGCGTGATCAATCAATTAAGACCCGAAATGGTTTATTAAATCCTTCCAATGATTGCTAAGCCATAATCCATCTTCTCGGTTGTAATTTTCTCTGTTTTTATATGTGGATAGCCTCATGAACAAATCTCTCATGGTAGCCAGATGGCTTGCAAAGAACTTCTGTCTTGGAGAAGTCAATGTCATGTGAACCTACTGAATTATAACAGTGATCTGCCACAGCCGAAGTGTTGGTCCTACCGTGTTTAAGGTCTGCTTTGTGTTCACGAATGCGGTCCGAGACATGTCGTTTGGTTTCTCCAATGTAACTGCTACCACAGAGGCAACTTAGTTTGTAGATGACAGGGTACTGTATGTCCAGAATCACACCTTTTACAGACGGAACCAGATCACGGATTTTATGTAATGTGTTGAATCGGACCTGGATCTTGAGTTTATTCAAGATTTTGGAGATCTTATTGTGATCCCCGCAATGTAGGGAAAAGTGATGGTTTTGAAAGGCTCCTCAAGAGGGTCCTTCTTCATGGTTTGAGTGAGAGCTTTGAGGATTATATAAGGCCGTGGTAATTACACTGCACTATACAGAGATCAGTAATGGAGGTTTTAGGTAATAGTTATAACGTCTTTACCCCCCGCCCCCACCCCCCGCTTTTTTACAAAGATCACCTAAAACATTTGGAGTGAATACTGCAGGTGGTTCAGATTTTTGCGAGTTATTGTTTTGCCGGCTAGATGGGTCAGCAGAAGAGCCAGGGGCTCAACAATTGGAAGCAAAATACATCCAGCATCATCAAGCAATTCGCCAGAATTGCTTGATGATGCTGGATGTATTTACCAGCAAAACGTCGTACTCAAACTGTAAATGTGGATTAACTCTTCAACACACCGGTGGGCTGAAGTAGTGAATTATTTGTCTTTTGTCATCGTGACACTTTTTTTGCCGATTGGCCGTGTCGGGTGGTGGAGGGTTACGACACATTTATAAATAAACGCGATCTAACCCAAAAACCTTTATTATGAAAAATATGACACTGACACCGCAATCCACTTCTATTTGACCTTTAATGTTAATTGTTTAATAATATCCCTGGCTGGGTGAGTAACTATCCTGTTATCCTCTAAAGCATTTTCATTATAAATTATTTAATTGGCTTTAAAAGTCAATTTCAGCTGCTTGGTTATAAAATGAACCAGTACTCAGGAATAAATACACTTGTCTTTCTTATCATCTTTCCACATGTGTTTATTCACTTGGCATAGGAGAAGGTAAGGGGAATTTTCAGAACACATATGAGGGACCGATATCCTGGCCCATCTATCGGCCTACTGCTATTGGATTTAAATCTAAGGTTCGCTAGTCTCATCCCCAATTTTGTTCCCCTGACAATATTGTGAACACCCAGTACCGAACAGATTGCAGTCAGTTCCTTCGCTGATTTATAACTTGTATTCTCAAATTTCAGTGATAGAAAACAAGTTCAGTTACTAATAATAATAATTTAAAAAACTACTTAAAATCTGTGGCCTGTGCTCATAACATTTAGGTAATCCAAAACACAATTAGTTTGTAATTAGATTGATGAGGGGCATGTATATGGGTATTTTTCATACTCTTACAAAACAGATGCATAAAGAGCACGTGCTTGCCCACATGTGAATGGTATGCCACATTTCACAGCATCCATAAGAAAACGTAAAATGAGTTTTGCTGTGCCAGCCAAAAACACTTGCAATAAAGCCTCTGATGTATACATTAAATGTGATGGTAGCCACAGCCATCGATTTCATCCTCTTGTAAATATAGTGAGGAAAAATATAAACAAACAAAATAACCTTACAACATTTATCGATAATATTGCCTTTACGCAAGATAATATTCAATAATGTGACATTTCAGTTCACGTCCCTTCTTCGGAGCAGAAGTTATTAACAGTTGTGGTTAATTTTTTTTAGGTTTCTACTTGTTCAGCACTGCCAATGCAGGCCCGCGAATATTTGTTTGATTT